TTTGTGGTTTCTTTAGAATTGTTTGCACAGACAGGATTTCCTTCCAGTATCAGCATTACTCATATTTATTTTGTATTAAGCTGCATATGTTGTTATTGTCAGAGCTTTTGCTAACTTACGAGAACACAAAGAACTTCAGAGATCAGTGAAATCTAAATAAATGTGCTAGGAGTAGGAGGTTGATAGGAAATCTCAAAATTGTATCAGGAAAAAATGAAAACTGATTCGGAAAATGACGAGCAGCGCTCTCAGGCTGTTGTGCAGGGCTGTGCTGATGTTGAAGATAAAGTGATGCCACACAAGAGACTGAAAATGGACTGATTACATGAAGTAGATGAATAATCTGTAGTAAATACCGACGCGTTGTATTCTTATCTCGCATGTATATGCAGAGGTGGTCATTATCTGCATTATCTTTAAAGTTGGGACTCTAATCTGTTCCTCCGGCCGTCATCCCTGGTTTAAATGACAGAACATTTGTTTGTGTGTGTGTTTCCTTGTTGACTTTTTCACTGCACTCGACTGCTCTTTCCACCAACACTGAGCCACTTTGTTACCACCTTCACGACTCGCCAGTTTTAACCGAACGTTAAGTTTCATCTTTCACGCCATCAGAAAAAGCCGATCACTGAGCATCGCCCGTCATTAAGCTGCCATCCTAAACCCTCGTCAGACTGTGGTCTCCCGGTGTTTAAACTGTGTTTTGTGTGGTCGATGTAAAACAAAAACACAACAGCTCACAGTTCTCCAAAAAAAAAAAGAAAAAGGAAAATGTTACTGAGTTTTGTGGATTATAGCTGTGCAACGAGGAACAAGCAGTCGCTTGTGAAACAAAAATAAAACATTTGTGCTGTTTGAACATTTGCTGTCTGATTTGTGTGTGCGTATATTGTGTTAATGTATTGGGACATTTTTAGGACAGAGGCTTTTATTTTAAATTTGTTGTGCATTTGTAGATAAAAACAACACAAACTAACACAAATAATTTTATTTCCAGTGATAAAAATAGTTGACTAATATAGAAGACAATCTGCATGTCTAATAATGGAAACTTCATAGTATCCAACACCGATGGCTTTCATAAGAAGTTCTCTTTTAGGTCACATTCAACAAAATGTAGTTTTTCCTATAAATTAACATAGAAACACATTAATGACAGATATTCCAGAGACTTATTTTAAAGTAAATTAAAGTTAGATTAAAAGGAGAAAACGGGACTTTCTTGCTCATCAAACCTCGACTCTACAGTTTGTAAAGCACACCACCTACCTCTAGGGGGCAGTGTGCCATCACACTCCTGAGCCTACAGCACTCTCTCCAGCCTACATTAAGATAATAAGACGTCAAACACAACATTTCTAAACAGAATAAACAAGAACACAAAACTTGTGAGGAGGGAAATCTTTCAAACTCAATGTTGGGACTCGCTTCTGATTCACGGCTAAAATTTCAGTGTCGCTGGCTCAGCTGGTTGGTTAAGGTTGGGATAAAGTTTGTTACAGTACATTTATTGTTTTAATTTCTCACATGGACTGACACGAGCTGTAGACCTTTATTAGGACACTTCTGGAAGGTGAGGATATGCTGGCCTATCTTTACTTGTACAAAAGATTTGAGAGGTGCTATTAGTACAATTTCTATTCACATTAGGGACCTCGTGAAGCCCTCTTGACCCTCTGCATTAATTATAACGCATCAGGACCAAAACAGGAGGAGATTGTTCATTCAGACTGTTAGTCTGTTATCTAACAGTGTTGTTACGTTGTATCAATCTGCAATTATTTAACTTTGTCTGTCCCAGCTCTGTTCAGGCCACTTTTACTTTTGTAGTTTATTATGAATAAAATAAAACTTCTTCGTGATGCAGTGCCAAAAGGAAAACCTGCAGCCTCCATAATCACCATTTAACGCTCAGTTTTTGACACACTGACAGTGAAGTGACCCAGTTTTGGCGGTTTCCTCAGCCACGTCCCCAGACCACCTCCCTGCAGAGCGCTGCTGAACTGCTGCACCGCCCTCTGGTAGCACTGAGCAGACATCTTGGAAGCACAATACGTCCCTGTTGTGGATTCTGCCCCGATTACAGGGTTGATTAGCTGAGAAAGAAAGGCACAAATAAACAGTTAATTTATTGCAATATAACTCTCTGGTTTTATTTATTTTTACAGTTTGACAGTCCAGTCAGTGTGCTGCACTTCTTAAATTATATTTTCAGGTAAAAATATTTCTCTGCCTCTTCAAAATGACACCTGTCTAGTGGAAATGGACAGGTGTCACTTTGAGATGACGCAGGAAACTCTAAGGTGGCACTAATGACATTAACGATGGCTCCAGGAGAGGTGGAGATTCAGCAGCTGGGACCTGGGAGTGACATGCCTGGATGGGCATTAATGTTGTTCGTCATACCCAGCAGAGTGTGACAAGTCAGGACGTCAGAAAAGTGTTCAAACTGAAAATGTAAATGAGTAAAAGACGGTTTTCAAATCCGTCTGCTGAAGGAGGAAAGTTCCTACAGTCTGACAGCCAATTATGGTCCAGTGTGAAACTTGGGTCCTGCTCACACCTGGTATAAACGGGTAAGTATGGAGTCTGGAGAGCCATGAAGGGATGTCTCATTCGCGTTTGTTTGCCTGGAGCGCCAAGGAACGGACCCAGTTTGTAACTTCCAGCTTCCATTCTGGAAATGCACTGCTGCCTCCCACCAGTGAAGATCTACAACCCATCTAGTCTTTGCTAGCAGAACTGATTCCATCTCCAGTCTTCAACTCCTGAAAGCAAACAGACGCTGAGGAGAGTTAAAAACCCTCCACATTCATTCAACACCTTAAACAAGTCTTAGCTCCCTTTAGGGATCGCCACAGCAGATCATCTGAGTCTAGCACACACCATCCCTCTGTACGTCCTACATCCATGAAGCTCCTCTCTGGTCTTCCTCCCTTCCTCCTGCCTGGCAGCTCCATCTTTAACATCCTCTGTCAAATATACCCACATATACCCCATCCTCCTCGGCACTTTGTCTCCACACAGCTTCGCCTGAACTGTACTCTCGATGTACTCGCTCCTGATGCTGTCACTCCCAATGAAAATCTGAGCACCTCCACCTCAGCCCCCTGTCTTTTTGTCAGCGCCACCATCTCCACGTTGTAAACCTTCCCTTCCACTCCTCCTGCTATCTTTCTGTCACAAATCACCCCTGACACTCCACCCCTTAGTGCCAGGGGTAAATGCTTGATCCCAAGTACTAAAGTAGTAAGTAGTTTCTTAAAAACTACATCTTTCCTATGACTTCAGACATAAACGAAGCCAGAAAACTAAATACCAGTGATGCTCGGAGGATTAGTGAAGTTGGGCTGATCTGCTACAAGAGATTTCATTAGGCTTAAATAAGCACATTGTCTGTATTCCTTCAGTGGGACAAATAGCTTCAGAACAGTAAAATATTTGATATTGTGTGATACCGTCACAGTGCTATGAGCGATCTTTCCTGGTTTTCAACATTGCTGGAGGCTGAAACAACCTCAGCATCTGGCCGTGTGCTTCGGAGCCACCCTGCAGTTTTTGTAAATTGCACTGCAGCCATTTTTGATGCAGGGCGGCGATTGTTGCACTTGGAGACACTTTTAATGTTCTAATACATCTATGAGCTGATTAATTTAGAGCCTTCGCTCGAGATCTGTGTTGATGCAGCTGGAGTGCGAGTGATCGAGTTTCCCTTCAAACCAATGATAATAAAGCATTATAGAGAGTTATGTGTTTGTTTGTTGTCTGGTCTCCCAGCACGTCCACACCATCACACATCCATAACAAACTGAGGTTATTTCTCCTCATTTTAATTCTTTAAACTGAGTCGTAAAGTGTGGGTTTTCTCTCTCCTGGGCCGTGGCTTTGTCTTTTCTTGCAGCGATTTCAGACGCTTCTTTAAATAACCACGACTCTGGCTGCCGTCATCAAACTTTAAACTGAAGCCATTTGGTTCAACACAGCGCATTCTGCATACATATTTTAATTTCACAGAGGAAATTAGACCTCTCTTTCAACGACATCATTATAATGTAGATGGCTTTGGTCTGAGCTCAGATGATTTCAGCTTAAGAAATTCATGCTTCTGTGACTTGTGCTTTAATTTACCAGCACGCTTTTAGTATTTATAATCATTTCATGTCATGTGATGATGTGAATAAGTCAGTGCTGCTTCAATAATCACTTACAGACAGTTTTTAAAGAAGGGCATCTGCAGCACATTGTAGCTCCCCCTATTTCACTTATATAAAAAAGCATTTTAACCTGCGTTATTTTGAATGGTCAGCAGGGGGCTGTATAGAAGAAATACCTCAGAGTTTATGGTCCCAGTCTTTAGTTTTAAGTTTAACAGAATAAAACAGCACCCCTAAAGCATACTGAGCTTTATCATCCATCTGAATACTAATAATGAGCACAATTTACAAAATGAGCATCTTATTACATTAAATAAGACCTGGAGCTACCATTTAATACCACGATCCCATCATGAACATGTTTACTGAATACACAAGTCAAGTGTGAAGTGGGTAATTTTCCCACAGACCTCTATAGAATAAGAACCAGAGGTGCCACCCCCTGCTG